AATTACTAAAACAATTACAAAAACATTGCAGAATAAGGTCAATACAGCTGTGGTGATTTGTGCAATTACATGTTGATTATGGAACGATAATCAGTTTCAAGGTTTACCGTGGTTGGAAAAAAGTCAAGGTTTAAAACCATTCAAATGTTCTGTTCTACCGTTCCTACACTCTCAGAAATAAAGGTACACGATCTTAACTGGGGTGGTACCTTTTTCGAAAGGTACAATTTTGTACCTAAAAGGTCCTTATTAATACTGCACTGGTACAAATTAGTTCCTAAAAAGTACAAAAGTGTTCCTTTTAAAATTTTTAGGTACTACTTTTGAGGTACCAATATGGACCCTTCAGGTACAAATGCCTTTTGAAAAGGTACCAACCTAGTGACAGCTTGCGAACATTTATTTCTGGGATTGTATGGTACAAGTACTTTTTTTGTTTTTTTAAACTAAAATTTTATTTAGCGATTTAGGACAACAGAATCTCTAGCAGAAAAGAAGTATCCATATAACATCTCATGATTCAGCAAAATTTTTTAAATCAAATCACTTATACACCAACATCCCAGCATGCAAAACTTTCATTAATTCATTTTCTTGTCGCCTTAGTCCCCTTATTAGTCCGGGGTCGCCAAACCGGAACGAACCGCCAACTTATCCAGCAAGATTTTATGCAGCGGATGCCCTTCCAGCCACAACCCATCCCTGGGAAACATCCACACAGACATTCACACACACACTCCGGACAATTTGGCCTACTTAATTCACCTGTACTGCATGTCTTTGGACTGTGGGGGAAACCGGACCACCCGGAGGAAACCCACACGAACGCAGGGAGAACATGCAAACTCCACACAGAAACGCCAACTGAGCCGAGGCTCGAACCAGCGACCCAGCTACCTTCTTGCTGTGAGGCGACAGCACTACCTACTGCGCCACTGCTTCGCCCCCCATACTAAACTTGCTTACTTTATATCCAAAGAGAAAAAAAGATATCCAAAGATGCCTTTTTAAGTTGTAAAGAAATCTGTGTTTTTCAACTAATGGAGACAGGAGAAGTCAATGATTTATTTTAATTATTTATTTTGCCTGACATGTTTACAGATTCAAAATACTCTAAAAGTTGCTTAAAATAAAATAAATTGTGTTCATTGGGGAAAAAGATTTAGAATTTTACCAAGACGTACTGTCTTTTGAAGCAGTAATCACAATACTGTAACACCGCGAAACCATGATATTTAATCCGAGGTTATCATATTGTCAAAATCTTAGACCGGCACAATACACTAATGGTGATTTGTCTTTTTAATAAAAAGAAGTGGTATTATTACATCTTAAATTTGGGAAGAAAAAGTATTAATTTTGCAATAAAATTGTTAAATTGATAACTTATGGTTTAGTTGTTCCATCAGTTAAATAGAGGTCACTTAAATGCTGACTATGTGGTGATTGTTTAAACGTCTGCTTTACTTCTACACACAAATTTAATTGAGCAGTTGTCATATTCACCTTTCACACTCTCAGAAAAAAAAGGTACAAGAGCTGTTACTGGGGCAGAACCTTTTCAAAAAATGCATATTTGTACTCAAAAGAGTCCACAGTGGTACCTCGAAGGTGCGTTTTAGAGCCCAAACATACCTAAAAAGTACCTTTAAGGTACCATTATAGACCCTTCAGGGACAAATTTCTTTAGAAAAGGTACTGCCCCAGTGACCTTTATATCTGAGAGTGTACTGACAATGATATTTTTGCTGGTATAATGAGAAGACGTCAGATAGTAGAGCAAACTTGCACAACCAGCTAACCGACCTCCCGCAGAAATCATAATATTGTCAACTATTAATAGGAAAACATATTAAGTCACATCAGCAAAGCTGCTCTGTCTGTTTATTTGACAGGTGTTGGTGGTACTGTCAGCAAATATAACTCCTGTCCTACATCAAGCATGCAGCTTTGAAGACGAAATGATATTTTTATTCCCCTCTCGCAGATGTTCCTTCAATTCCACATTGTAAGGTCATTTCTCATGAGACAGAGCCCTGGTGCAGTGTCCATCTGGAGATATTGTAAGCGATAGTCCACTGACATCATCCCTTCCTGTGGAGTATTCTAAACAGAGCTCTGTGTGGTGAAAATAGCTCTGGCTGTAAACAAAGCTTCCATGTCTGATCTGCTTTTCTTAGAAAGGAATAATAGTATGTGCATGCGCTATAACGCCAAAGAAAACATAGGAGGGAAGACTACAACAGTCAGCAAGAGAAGAACTCAGCATTTACACAATGAAGCTTCTATTACAACAAAAACCAGACCCACCCTAAACTCAATTCCATACGCATAGCATGTTAAACACATTTACAGCCTGCAAATGTAAATATATGCAAGGTAAGCCTGAGCTGAAACCAGCAAGAGATACCAGGCCTTTTAAAATGGGGATAATTGTTGGAAACTGCAGGTTACACCTTATAATGAAATTCCATATGTTACTGTAATTAAAGGAATACTGTTTGCTCACTCAAAAAATAAAAAAATGAAACGATTGTTTAAAGGATTGTTTAAATATATATTATGGATCATCAAAAACGGTTAAGCCCCAATTATAAAAAAAATGTAATTTTAAGGTGAAGAATGTACATCTTGGATGGCCTGTCAATGAATGAATTACCAAATCATTTTACTACAAAAGAACAAAAATGTGTAATATGAAGTTTTATCTTTAAAATGTTATTATTTAACAGACCTCAGCTAAAATGAACAATCAATGAACAGCATTTTTTAATTCAAAAAGCTACAATTTTCAAACTGCTATAGGATGTCAGCAGGAAAGTTTATAGAAAGTGAAGTGAGTTAGTGAAATAATAAAGTAAATAGATTAAAAATATGATAAAAAATAACAAATAGTGTATAATATTGAATCAAACCGTACAATAGTATATATATATTTGTATTAAATTTGTATTAAATAAGATTTCTATTTAGCTATATATATATATATATATATATATATATATATATATATATATATATATATATATATATATATATATATATATATACTGTATATATATATATACACCGTATATATAATAGCTAAATAGAAATCTTATTTAATAGAAATATTTTTTGCATATAGACATTTAAGATTCATATATAAATTTTCTTTCACATATGTCACCAAGAAACTGCATAAATCCATATATAATTTCATCATCAGTGTCAGAATGGTCATATTTTAGGATACCATGGTGTCTAAACGGATGAAAATTGCTGAGTTAAGGGTCCCCACACTGTAATGAACTGCCAACTTATCCAGCATATGTTTTACGCAGCTTAAAAGTGAATTCAGCTATCCTAGCTGCAAGGTTTTCCTTTGAATCATCAGCTGAGAGCAAGACATTGTGCTCAATGATGTCACATTTGTCCCTTCATTGATTGTCGTTGCCATGGCTACAGTGCTGTAACTGTAGCAGCGTGGGGTTAAAGGTCACAGAGATAGCCCAGCAATTGAATTTATGGGAGGGCTTGTAGGTATCAGGTTTTACTATGCACCCCCACCCCACTTTATTGATGTTGAAGCTGCCTTTCTCTTCCAGTCCTCCTCTCTCTCTCTCTCTCTCTCTCCATCCTTCATTCAATCAGTGGCAATTAACCACAGAACGTAGAAAACACTGAAACAAAACACAACAGCAAATGCAACCAACCAGCAACCTCTCTGATGATAACCTCTGCACAGTCTGCTTAAATTTATGCTGAAATGTTGTGTTATTTGCCAATAGTGGTAAGCTAAATATGATAAACAATTGTAATACCACTACAGAACATACAGTGGGGAAAATAAGTATTGAACACATTATGTTTTTTTCCTGAATAATATTTCTGAATGAGCTGTTGACATGGAATTGAACCAGATTTTTGTAAAAACCCGATCAACACAAACAAAACAAAACAAAACAAAAATCTAAAAAAAAAAAAAATGTGTGTAATAAGAATGAAATGACAAGTAGAAAGTACTAAAGTATATTTAATACTTTGTATTAAAAAAAAGTTTTGTTGGTGATGGCAGCTTAAAGACACATCTCATATGAAGAATGAAATGCTCAAGTGTAAGTTTTTCTTCACCCACTTCAACAGAGTGTAAAAATTGTGATGGTTCTGTGGGTCTCGTTCATCAAATCCGATCTTTATTTTGTATTTCTTTATTGGATTCAAGTCAGGTGATTGGCTGGGCCATTTTACAGCTTGATTTACTTTCTCTGAAAGCATTTGAGAGTTTCCTTGGCTGTGTTTTGGATCACTGTCTTGCTGAAATGTCCAATTTACACTGATGAAGGGTGTTCAATACTTTTCCCCTACTTCATTTCATTTTATTACGCATAACTAAATTTGTAAACTCATTGGATTTGATTTCTTTGCATATATGGATTTCTTTAGTTGCTATTATCATCAGAAATATGTTTTCTGAGAACTACTTAATAAAAAAATACTTAATTTTCCCATTGTACCTTAATAACAACAATATGAACCACTTAGTTCACTCTTAAAAAAAAAGGTTCCTTGAGGTTCTATATAGAACCTTGGGGTTCTATACTTGGCCAGTAGAACCTTTTACCCAAAAAATGGTTCCATTTAGAACCCTTTGACTGCAAAGAACCTTTTTGATTAAAACGGTTCTATAATTTTTTAATCATAACATAATTATTTAGTAAAGATTATGAAATAATTATAAGTTATAACACAGAGAGACAAAGCTTTTTGAGTCAAAACCTAATAAAATGAATGCTGTCGTCAAAAACTTAATCAGTGTACAGTATGATGGGATTTTTTTATGCAGGTTTGTACAATAGCATATAACTTATAGGCCTAGTTTATGTTTAACATTTTCGACAAATTATTTTGTGAAATAAATAAAATAACCAATTTATTTAGACTGTGCAGTAACATGTTGTTATGGTTTAATAATTTATTTGAAACTAATAATCATAAAAAAGCCCTCTGGTGATGTCAGTCATTGACAAGGACATCGTCATGGACCAGTGGTGAAGAGCCTCGAGAGAAGGTTAATTTTTCGAAAGGAGAAGTCCACTATTTCAGCTTCATCATTCAGGTATGTTAGTACATTTAATATATATAGTGAAATATTTTGTATTATGAAGTAAGGTTTCTATTTGATAGAAAATCCCTCGTGTTATATGGTGATACAGATTGAATGGGGGCAACTTTAGGTTAATATGGATAAACACTGTGCTTGCGATGACCTCGGTCGTCACCCTTCGGTTCAGAAATCTGTTAAGTTGAATTTGTTCTGCTTTTTATTCGAAATAAGTTTCAATATCGCTATACTTGTTTGTCAGTACTACTAATTAAATTACCGATAACAGTACACAGCTGTGATATTTGAAGGCGAGCTTCGAGAGAGCGTGAATGAAGCATTATGTGCATGTTACTTTAAAATTAGCTAGATTTGTGCCGATTTCATCGTGTTTTTCGTGTTGTTTTTAGCTCCAACCTTGAACAAACGCTCACTTTTAGCTTGGTTCGTGTGTGTTTTATCAGTGATTGAGCTAAACTCTGCAAAGTAGTGGACATTACTGCCCGCTTTTGAGACGTTCCCGCTAGTCTGCATAAAACCGCAAGATAGCAGTGCACCGCTCGTGCACGCACAGGCAGATTCGTGCCCGAGTCTGTGCACGCGCGGGAGGCCAGTCACGGTGGCAAGTTCTCCCTATGGCCAGTCCGCCCCTAAATATTATTGAAACCTTTAAAAAGCCAGACATATTTTAACAATCCATAGATGAAAGATCAGGTCTTATTTATAAAAGACACAAAAATGCAGACTAAATGTATTGTGAAATTATATATATATATATATATATATATATATATATATATATATATATATATATATATATATATATATATATATATATATATATAGTGCAAAATAAGTTTAAAATAAATATTTTAATGTATATTTTATTTTTCTTCAAACAGCCTGGAAACTGAACTGCTTCATAAAACTTGTGCTTGGTATGTATCATTGTTTTAAAATCCAAACAAACTGTATTGTGGTCAGTAAAATGAAATAAATATTATAAAAGACTTCAAGATTGTATTTATCATTACAGAAAAGTGTCATGGGACCCATATTAAGTTTCCAAATTTGATCTGCTGCACACAAGTAGCTTTGAAGAAGAAGGATCCCAGCTTAAAGAAAAACATGTGTCACATCCATAATTGTTTGACATCATCTTCAAGCACACCTGGTAAAGTATTGTATTTTATAACATGCATAATTCAGACTTGTTGGTTGTTGTGTACTGAAAAAATATATTTATCAAAAAAATATTCTATTACTTACTACTGCTGTTTTAATACAGTGAGAATATTAAGTCGTTGCTTAATAAAAAGTCCTGCAGAGAAGAAATATGTATTGAAAGGTGTAAATTTGCCTACAGGATTCCTTGTTGCAATGTCTTCAAAACAAATGTAAAAATGAAAGGATTTCAGTGGTGAGCTCATAATGATGGGATCAAAAGGAAGTGAACTGGACTCTGAGGGACTTAACACAAGGCAAATTCATTTCAATACATTTAATGTCAAGATTAATTCTGTGATTTAAATTCATATTTACACATTCTACAAATGCTGTCTTCCTACCTCAGATTGTGATGGACCTAGAATGCGACACCGTTTACGAATAAGTCAAGAACCAAATGAAACACACTATTTTCCAGAGTACAGATTATGGAGGGGACTGCAAAACTAATGGAGCAGTTTCTTCTTCTTGGAGTGCCACAGCTTGTAAGTAACCAAACAATGTTACATTGTGTGCCAAATAGATATGAAAAATCTGTGTATATGACATTTTAAAGCTCATTTGGTAAAGCAATGCATTAGCAATGCCAAATGTGTTCTAGGTCTCACATATTAATAAATGTATAGAATAAACACAATCTACGTCCCTTTGGATAAAAGTATCTGCCAAATATGATGTATGTTATTTGATAAACAATTATTTTGTTTTGTTCTTATTCTAATTTTATTGTTTTATTTAATGTTCATACTAAATTGAGGTCACTCAGAAATGTCAATTTCATTAAATTCTGTAACAAATGAGATGCAGATTAAACAGAAAATATATTACAGCTGTCTACACTGTATTTCTGTATTTTTGATGACTTTAAAGTACTTGTATTGCTGAAAATGTGTCACTTACACAAAGTAAACAAAATGTTTTAATTTAGGATGCTGCATATAAGGACTTAGTGAAGGACACAGAAACATCTTTAAAAGAAATGGCCCAATAGAAGGGAAGGAAAGAAGAAAGTACTCAGCATTGAAATATTGTTTTACAGAAATCCAAAGATCCTAACAGCTCTCCTGATTCCGTCAAGGCTTGAAGTGTCAGCATTACGATGGCCAACACTCGCTCACTATCCTTCTGCTCCCTCATTTATCAGAGGCACCACAGTAGAATGAATTAGCAATTACTCTTCACTTTCCAGCCGCAACCCAGCACTGGGAAACACCCATACACTCTCTCATACACCTGCACACATTCACTTACTATGGCCAATTCACCAATACCGTACGCATGCCTTTGGACTGTGGGGGCAACTGGAGCACCCAGAGGAAACCCACACAAACACTGGGAGAACTTGCAAACTTCACACAGAAACACCAACTGACCCAGTCAGGCCTCGAACCAGTGACCTTCTTGCTGTGATGTGACAGTTCTAACCAGTGAGCCACTGTGCCACCCATGGACAAAACTATTTACGTTATAAGAGAGGCCGGCAAACATGGACATGCTACAGGTTGTGGAATGGCTGTTCTCAATGTTTTGTCTAATCATTTTGCAAAGTTTTGTGTGCGATTAAGCTCTTTCTTCAATAACTTTTATTGAAAATTATGTATAAAAATGGATGTTACCATGACCAATACATACATGTACCGTCAACTTGTTGAAATTGTAGTGTTATTTAATAGATGTTTGTGTATTGTTTCTATCTGCATTGTAATACATTTTTAATCATTTTAGAAATGTTTGAAAGTTAAGTTTTGTATTTGTTCAATCAGTAAGCAAGCTTACAAATGTTTAATAAAAAGTGAAATCATTAGAATTAGATTGTTGAATGCCATTAAGCTGTTAATTATGTTTACTAATTAAATAGTAAAAATGTATAATGTTTAGAGGTAGATCTTATACAAAGTACGCAGAGGTGCAATTTTAAATATTATTTAAAACTTATTTTGTGAAGTAAATTGAATAAATTTAAACAATTTGAATTGTCTGCATTGGTTTTATTTTTTATTCAATAATAAATAAAGAACCCTCAAATGGTTCTAAATAGAACCATGTAACTTGAATTCAAAGAACCATTTGGGGTTCTATTTAATGAACCCTTAAATGGTTCTATTTATAACCTTTTTGGGGTTCCATATATGAAGCGCTTGAAAGAACCATTTGGGGATCTATTTAATGAACCCTTAAATGGTTCTATTTTTAATCTTTTGGGGTTCCATATATGAAGCGTTTGATAGAACCATTTTTAGTTCTATATAGAACCGTTTCTTTTAAGAGTGTTTAACCAGTAATATTACATTCATGCAAAAAAAAAAATCCAAAGTGTTAAAGAGGAAAAATACTGCTTTCATAACTTGTATAGGGTGTTATGTAAATATGTCTTGTACAAACTATCATATACTCCATCATGACCACTTTTGAAATAATAATAGCCACTTTTTATTTTGATTATTTTTTTTAGTCAAGAGGCATTACAAATAAAAATTTTAAACACGCTGCCATAACATAAATTATTTATGCTTATGACATTCTATAACATTTTTATTACAAGTTTTTTCTAAGGTTTATATCAATTATAACATTTTTAATTCAAAGTTATTTATACGATCAATATGCAATGTAATAAATGAAATTTAAAATAATTAAAAAAAACAGTGAATTAAAATTAAATTAAAATGAATAAAAGTGAATTAAATAAAAATTAAAAAGATGTTTCTGAATGGCTCACCATTGGCAAACTAGAGCCAATCATAATCATAAAATAAGAAAATCAATCATTATCAATAATCTAGCAGCTTATTTTTTTATATAAGTATTCCATCTAAAATAAAAATTCAATCCACTGTAAAAAATGCAACTCACAAATTGTTTACTCAGATTAAAATTGTAGGTAAGGTGGACATATTTTAAGCTCAGAGTTCAGTTTACTCATGTTTGGAACTGTTTGTTCAATGAAAGTAAAAAAATCAGTTGAGGAGCCTTTGATTTTTGATTTTTTCATTTAACTTGCACTGTATAAAATAAAAAAGCTGAGTTAACTTAAAATTTTAATACAACCAGGTGCAAATAAATTTTGAGTTTATTAAGCTTCAGTGGATGAACTTGTGCCAAATTAGTATAAGTATACTTGACTTAATACAGCCTTCTCAGTAACTTAAAAATTATTTGGCACAACTTCAACCACTGAAGCTTAATAAACTTAAAATTTATTTGCAGCTGGTTGCTTTTAAATTTTAAGTTAACTCAACTTTTTATTTTTTACAGTGTACCTAAAGTTTGTCTATGCTGTGAAATGCCTTTCAAAAATTTGGTATGCAATGTATACTCATAAAATGGTAAAAAGAAGAGTCTATAATTCAAAAGAACCAAAAGATTAAATACAAATTGGTTATCATGCACTTGCTAATACTTTTTATTCATATATAATATCTACACCATATGGATTACTATTTTACCCTGCGCCTCACAGCAAGAAGGTTGCTGGTTCGAGTCCCGGCTGGGTCAGTAGGCATTTTTGTGATGAGTTTGCCTGCTCTCCCTATGATCGTGTGGGTTTCCTCCAGGTGCTCCGCTTTCCCCTACAAGTATGAGTGAATTGAATAAACTAAATTGACCGTATAGTGTATGTGTGTGAATGAGTTTGTATGGGTGATTTCCAGTACTGGGTTGCAGCTAAAATTGCATCCACTGCATAAAACATATGCTAGATAAGTTTGCGGTTCATTCTGCTGTGGCGACTGTGGGACTAAGGAAAATGCACATTACAAACATTACATTTACAGCATCACGTTGGAAAGTTAACCATCAAAAGTGTGCGAACAGCTCCCTCTGCAGATATGAAATGATAATTTAGTTCCTATATTTGAACTGTATGGTTCAATATTCTTCCTCAGCTCTGCAAAAATGCATTGAAATAAATCTGTATCCATTAGTTTGGTGTTCATAATGTATGTAAATTAGTCTATAGTATAACAGAACTGCCTGTATTATAAAGAAAGAAACTGATTGTCAAGACAATAAACTTTGTTTACATAAATGGAGAGTCTTATTAATGTAATTAAACCATATTAGTAAAAACATTGTTATTGAACAGTTCTTATTCTAATATTTTTAGCAGTAGAAATTCTATTACATTCAAAAGCATTATGTACTAAGCACAGGTATAAGCTTAGTGAAATGTTTGATTACATATTAATAATCTGTTATTGACTGGTTAAACTGAATGTTTATATATATACCAGCAAAACTTTGAGTGCACAAGCATCACTGTTTGTCAATTAAATGACAACCATAATTGAATTCAACTATACAATCATGTCAATCATATTTATAGGTTAAATTTCAATACTGGGGACTTAAATGTATGCCAGTTTTGTAATTTGGATATAACAATTAATCATTTGTTTTTCCAATGTAATCTGGTACAAACATTTTGGTATGATAATTAGTTTGGATACAACATAAAATTTCATCTTCATCCTTTTTAGACTCATCTTCTCATGCAAAATTCTTAAGTTTGATTTAATAGTAAGGATAAAAAGTTATTTTGAAAATGAATATTTGTATCCATTTCTCAGTGAATTTCTCAGGCAATGTATTTTGGTGCATTTAAACAAAACAGATTTATTAAACAGATGCATTAAAGGATTAAGTCATAAAACATATTTAGAAAGTAAAAGATAATACATTTAAATTCAAGCCAAATATTGCAAAATAATAATAATAATAAATTAAATAAAAAAATTCAACCTACAAAATTTCAACAAAAACTTTCAATTTTTTGATATCTCATTTTTAAAATTTGTTTTTAATATTTTTCTATATCATATCAATTTGGGTGTACTAGTTTTTGGAACGTTATCGTAAGTTATTTTGTTAGATAAGCTAAAGATTTGGCTTCAGTGCTGACTAATCTAATGTATATGCACAAATATGATATTTTATAGCTTCATATTAAAAATGTGAATTTAAAAGATAAATTTGTGAGGGGTGTATGCTGAGCACTTTATATTAAATAACTTGTTGACATTATTACAATTCTATATTCATAAAATTTAATTTTTGGTGGTATTTAAAGATGAATATGTGATAGCATATTGGTTTTAGAATTTGAGTACTTCATCTCCCCTGCTACTTTTTCAATTATTTATTTTGTTTGTTAACTTTTGTTATTTATTTATTTATTCATTCATTCATTCATTTATTTATTTATGGTGTATTGCTATTATTAATGTGAATGAAAAGATTGTGAATGAAAAGATTGTGAATGCAAATTGATTGTCATCTCAGTCTTTTGTGTAAATTAAAAAAAAAAGTATTAAAGCTTTTCTGTTATTGTTTAAATATTGTTAATTAAAAAGAAAAAGAAAAAAGTATCTAGCAAGACAGGACATTCTTATTGAAGTATTCCAGACTCTGTACAGAATATATCACTTGGGAGTTAAAGTATAAAGTATGAAATAGTGTGCGAGTTGCCAAAGAAAGCACTAAAGTATACTCTCTAAAATGTTAATGTCCCATTGGGCAAATCTGAAATGTAGGGTTTAATTAAAGTCAGTAAAAAAAAGATGGCGACAGGCATGGACTCAGGAAGAAAGGGGAAGACAATTGTATCAAATAATGAGGTAAGTTGGGTATGACAGGTTTGTGACAAAAGAAGGGATTACAATCTCATGCCTCCGAATTGGGCTCACTGCATTAAACCAATCACTGTTTGAAATTGGCAAACACGATACAGGTATGTGGAGTATATGTGGAAATCCAAAATTAGTTGAGCGTGTTATTTTAATTGTCATAGTTATAATGAGGAAAGATCTTAGCTAATGGAGGAAATGAAGAATGCAGGAAGTTTAAATCTAACACTAAAGAAGTAATAAATTGAATAACTAAATAAATAAAGGGGCAACTCGGTGGCGCAGCGGGTAGCACAGTCGCCTCCTTGCAAGAAGGTCACTGGTTTAAGTCCCAGTTCGGGTCCGTTGGCATTTCCGTGTGTGGAGTTTTCATGTTCTTCCTGTGTTGGCGTGGGTTTCCTCCGAGTGCTCCAGTTTTGTCCCACAGTAAAAGACATGCACTAGGTGTATGAGCTATGAGGTGTATAGGTGCTGTATTAGCTGTGTAAAACATATATTGGATAAGTTTGCAGTTCATTCTGCTGTGGCGAGCCCAGATGAATAATAGGATTAAGCTAAAGGAAAATTAGTGAATGAATTAATAAATTTAATAACTAAAGATGTTAATGTAATAAAAACTAAAGCATACCTAAAGTATCTAAAAAGACATCATTACTAAGACAAGTTTAATTTATGTATTTGATTTAACAGCTTACCATTTTCTTTTCCCCCATTTCTTTGCTTGGTCTATTTCTGTATTCCTTTCTATATCAACGCCTCACCCTCCTCCCCACTAGGTGGCGGAAACTCAGTAAAGCTGCCAAAGTTTGCAAGAAGAAGAAGAAGAAGAAGAAGAAGAAGAAGAAGAACAACAACAACAACAACAACAACTGCATTGCGTTGATGAAATACATGGCTGTAGAAGAAGCGACTTTGTAAAAAATGTTTTACTGCTTAGTTAATAAAGAAGTTACGTGTTTGTTTAGACGGAAGACTTGTGTTTGTCTGCAATTCAGATAACGTTAGCGGACATTTTTTTTATTACGCTTGAAAACTAAGCTAACGCTTCGGATTCTTCAAGAACAGTATTTTCCAGGTGTAACGCCAACTTACTCCTTAATTTTCCTTAATTTCGAAGACGTCATGCATACTAGAGAGATCATATATTGTGCTACACAAATCGAAAGGTTGCACGAGGACGGCAGTTATGAAGATGTTATATCATTACTGACTGAACTCGACATCACTTCTGTCACGTTAGAGCAGATTCAGACAACAGATATTGTAAAAGTTCTTTACAGACTGCTTAAGTCCTGTCCTGTTTTGAGTGCTAAAACAAAAGCAAAGAGCTTGCTGACAAAATGGAAGAAGTTGTACAATTTGTCACATGCAATATTACTCAAAAATAATGACAAAAACACACGGGAGGACAAGGAATTAGAGACGCATAACATGTCTAATGTTGAGTTACCATTGGAATTTCCATTTTTAACCAATGGATTTCAGCCCTTACATGAAAAAGTGAACGAGAGTCAAGCATGTAACACAAAGCAGCTTGATATAACAAAGGATGCAAACCAGGGAAAATGTAATAATTTATGCTTTAATGCATCTTCTAAAAAACTTTGTATAGCAACTGAATCTGCAGAATCTCTCCAGACACAGCTTGAGCAAGAGAGCATTACTCCAGCCGTGGAATCAAATAGATCTGATACAGAGGAAAGTGCTCAAACCTCAGTTCCTCAAAACACAAATCAGCACACAACTAACTGTGACTCTACAGCACTGAGATCCAAATGTGTCCATCTGATCCTTCAGGCTCTTAGCACAAACCAACAAACAGACCCAGGTCATATGAACAAGCTCAAAGCCCTTGCTGAGAACATTGAGTTGCATGTTCATGCTCTTCATGGACGAAACCAGCATAAGTACAAGTTTCATATTAGGAGCAAGGTTGCCAACCTAAAGAACCCAAACAACCCCCACCTACGCCAAGGCCTTATTTCAGGACAACTGACTCCAGATGCATTTGCCCAGATGTCTGTAGAGGAAATGGCAGGTGAGAAACTTCGACGGCTCAGAGAAACTTACACCAGTTTGGCCATCAGTGAGCATCAGTTACCAGAAACAGTTAAAGGCACCCCTACCAATAAAGTTCGCTGCAGGCAATGTGACAGTATGGATTGCAGGGTGACTCAAATCTCACGAGGGACTCTTTTCTTGCCATCCTGGGTGCAGAGTGGCAGTGCAGATAATGATTCTATGACTTTTATGACCTGTGCTAATTGTGGAGAACAGTGGTACCACAGTAATTGGGTTTGCCTTTGAGCAAGTGCGTATAGATAGCAACACTGTTCTGTATTATTTGATCTGTACTATTGAAGTTTTTGTTCACAATGATGTTAAGATGGTCAATTATGTAGTCTTCAATTTGGTGCAGTGAACCGTATAATGCGCATTCATGTCTGTTTTGGAAGAGATGAATACACCAAAAATAATAAAAATAAACTCTTAAGAGTCTAAAAACTGGTTTTTGATACATGTAACCATTAAAAAGGTAATTAATGTCTGTTTTAATCTAAGTATCAGTATGGCTAGACACACTTTTTTATGTTGACTTTAGATCTGTTTTATTTGTCCTCCAAAAACTTATGTAAAGTATATATTTAGATTATTTTCCATAAGTCACTGTTAAGTCTGTAAATATGGAAACGAATAACTATTGAACTGCTGTAAACATACATTTATAATTTATTATTATAATACGTATTTACTGGTTTATAAACTTTTTTCTTAAACTCTTCTTACATCAAATTGTTTTGTACATTACACATCATCTGTTTGTTGCAGGTTTTATTTATTTATTTTTTTTACTAAAACAAGGTTCCCACACTTTTAGAAGGTACTTTAAAACAAACAGGTCCTTAAGGTTTGTGAATTAAATTTTAAATGAAATTTGATTATTTTGTTAATTCAACAATTGTACTGTGCTGCTTTCAGCAGACTGAAAACAAGGTAAATTCTTAATTAGTATTGAATTCGACAAATTTTATTGAAGTTTTTTGAACATGGCTGTTTAAAATCAAATTCTTCATTCAAAAAACTCATCATTATGCACACAGTTTTATTGTTAATTTTAAGTGTAAGTGAACTGTTGAGTACAGTAAGAAGTTTCATGGTGGTGGCAGTTTTAAAAGTCGTTGAAAGTCCTTGAATCTGCTGTTAATGAAAGAGTGGGAACCCGTGTATAACTGTGATGTTCTGTTATGACAGTAATTACATTCATAAACATGAACATGCTACATTCAGATAACACACAAAGGAAACAGCTCAAATTTGATCTTGTGTCTAACCTTAGCCAATGTGACGGAAAGTGTGCCACATCCAGAAAGCATGTGTAGTTGCTTTATGATTACTTGGAATAATAATAATAAAACATCTTAAGTGCTCAGTTGTCTTACTAATCAGTTGTTACATCGAGTTGATTTCTTGCATATGTTTGTAATGAAATGACATGACTGTATGTGTTTCATAGAGAGGTCATGCTGCTAATCTGTAATGTCTGTAATGAATTACAGATGTAACCTCATCAAATAGAATAAATGCAATTCAGCTGAATTCAGCTTATATCCTTATTATATTATATTATATATATATATATATATATATATATATATATATATATATATATATATATATATAGATGCAGTGGCACAGTAGGTAATGCTGTCGCCTCACAGAAAGAATGTCGCTGGTTCGAAACTTGGCTTAGTTGGCTGTTCTGTGAGGAGTTTGCATGTTCTCCCTGCATTCGCGTGGGTTTTCTCCGGGTGCTCCGGTTTCCCCCACAGAGTGTGGATGTTTCCCAGAAATGGGTTGCGGCTGGAAGGGCATCCGCTGTGTAAAAACATGCTGGATATGTTGGCGGGGGCGACCCCGGATTAATAAAGGGAGTAAGTCGACAAGAAAATGAATGAATGAATATATATACAGCTGTACAGATGATTTGAACTCGACCTATTGGGGAGACTAATAATTGTACAAAAATGACACCAACAAAACATTCAATTCAACAATACATTTTTTTAAAATGAAATCTATGTACAACTATACATCCCTAGACACCAGACGCTACCTGAGTTTGTAATCCTTGCAAGACGCAAAGGATTGGAGGGATGGAGAGGCCACTGGTGTTAGCTAGCCATTGGTAAGATGACTAAAGTGAACCTCCTGGGTGGTCGGCACAAGGTGCTCCAGCCTCCACAACTTAAATGATCTAAAGAAAAACAAACAAAATCAAGTTTACTATCTAAAAAACAGACTTTGACCTTTGTATAACACATGTCTTGCCTTTTGAAAGTCGTGTAGAAGAATCCTGTCAAGAGGAATCCTCTTCTTGGGATCTGGATGTATGCAGGCTTTGATCAAATGGCTGAATTGTAAAAAGGTGGGAATAATGATGGACTATTACTTAAAACTTGAAAAAAAACTTGTTTAGTACAATTTACAATTATATTTATTGCAATTTTTTAAAGATCTCACCAATCAACAAGGAAGGCAGATACCACAGCCAATGGTATCGGGAAGGCATATGCCTTTGTGCCTGAAAGGAAAGAGATTTGAATGTTTGATTTTCTACAGCGAGTTTCTTCAGTATCCAGAAGCTTGTGGGTTATGAAACTCAAGACTTCCATTTTATTAGAGAACATACTAATAAAGGTGTTGTATGGTGTTTCATACAACAGGCTGCGCAGCCGAAATCAATCAGTGGCACATGCATAGTGTCCATATTCACTAATAGGTTCTCCATTTTGATGTCTCTATGGAGAACTCCTCATCTACAGCAAGTCTCAGCTGCCTTAATGAACTGCCGCATCACTCTCGAAGAGACTCTGGCACTGTGAGGGGCACTGCAAGACCATGAAATAATGGTGAGAGAGGTCCTGCCAGTCCATCAACTCGATGTTAGGTGAGCTGAGACCCCCATTGGCCAGGAGTGTCAGGCCAATTTCCAGAGGAACAGGTTCCGGATGGTCAGGCTAGTGGAAAACCTTTAAGATTAGTTTATTGAGAAATAATTTGCAGACAAATACATTTCCAGGCAAACTTGATTGCCACCTGATCAACAAAACACAATTTTTGACAGTTAGCATATTACTTTAGGTCAATCATATTTTGAAAATTGAAATTTGATTGTGTAAGACAAAAATATAGTTAGTTAGACAGATAATGCAAAAGAAAATATATAAATATAGTGGAAGACCATCCTTGGCACGAACTCCAGCATAAACAACTCCTTTCCTCAGTTTCTTGTAGTTCGAGCACATGTCTGGTAAAATATAAATAGTTGTAGAGACAGATTCATCATTTTCTACAATGTAAAGGTAAAACTTTATTAGAATTTTATATAATTTTTAATGCCATAACTAAGACAACGTGTGATGTATAATAATAACGTTAATTGATACCTAAAATCATTACATGACAGTACATAATGCAAAAACATTCAATCTTAAAAAAAATTAAAGCATCATGCAGCTGTGTTACTCTCAGTGTTTTTGCTTATCTCAGGTATCCTGAACTAGTCCTGGAGAAGAATCTGGTCAAGAGGAGTCCTCTCTTCGGGATCAGGATGATTCTGAAAGACGGGAATAACAATTGATAATTAGTTTAAACATTCTTTACACCTAAAGACAGCATTTTAGATGTCTGAGCCATATGGCTTTGTAAGATACAATTACTTCTTTTGTACAATTTACAATTACATTTGTTGAATTTTTTTAAAGATCTCATCTTTCGACAAGGATGGCAGATACTGTACCACAGCCAGTTTGTAATCTTGTCCAAATCAATGTGGTCTGGAAAATACAGATAGCCATCCATAATACTTGCACTAGTTTGTGCATAATATAACTAAATTTAATGTCCCAGACTACCGTTTTATTACAGTACATACCACTAAAGGTGTAATATAGCTTTTCATCCAACAGGCAGCCACAGCTGAAATTATTCAGTTTCACATTCATGTTGTCTATGTTCACTAATAGGTTCTCCATTTTAATGTCTCTATGGAGAACTCCTCGTCTACAGCAGGTCTCAGCTGCCTCAATGACCTGCCGCATCACATGCCATGCAAACGCTTCAACTGAGATGCTCCTATAGCTCTCCAAAAAGTCAAAGAGACATTGTTACGACAAGGGGTGCAGCAAGACCATAATATAATGGTCAGAGAGCTTCTACCAGTCCAGCAACTTGATGATGTTGGATGAGCTGAGACCTTCATTGGCTTTGAGTGTCAGGCCGATTTCCTGAGGAACAGGAAAATGTTTATGATTTGTTTATTGAGAAATAATTTTCAGTCTATGATTAACATTGATAAAGAAAGAGATCACATATAGTACACAGTCTACTTAAAATCTGGAGATTCCATGTCCTCTATTTTCCAGGCAAACTTGACCAACACCTGGTCAACAGAACACAATTTGTGACAGTTAGCATATTATTTCAGAACATTAATCCTTTCAGAATTGAAATTTCATTCATGAATTTTTAGCATGTTTGATTAGTCTGACCGTTTAAATAAGAACTTGAATTATGTTAAATGAGACAAAGTATAACACATAAATATAGTTAGTTAGGCAGATAACTAACTAATGAGACAAAGAAAAATTCAGATTTTAGAAGAACATTTCTGATGACATTTTCAGAGAAAATTGCATCTGAACTCTTTAAATGCTTAAAGCTATATTGATTTTGTTTTCTTTTTTCGTGATTAAGTCCAGTCAAGCAAAAAATAAAGAGATTTACCGTTAGTGGAAGGTTCTGCCTCAGCGTACGTCCTGCGTCACCTCCTCACTCTGCTCCTGAATCTGCTGGTCTACTGATGAAGTGCCTTTCTGGTGGACACAATCCTCGACAGTGCATGTGTTATCTTGTACAGTGGTTTGATCCAAAGAGGGAAATTGACATAAATCACTATTTAAAAGAAAAACACACACAAAAACACGTCAACGCTATTAATAATAAATATGTTTACAGACACAATAATGTTTAAAGCTATGACGATCATTTATATTACTTTAGTTACTGACATAACGTTACAACAAGTAGAAGGTTCTGCCTCTGCCTCCGCCTCCTGCTTCACCTTTTCTTTCTCTCACTCTGCTGCTCCCCTGAGCTTTCTTTACCAGGTTTTGGGCGAAGAAAGGAGAAACAGACCAGCTTCTTCCAAAATCTCCTTTTCTTTCGCCACTTCTCCCGGTCTCCTTACCTCCTGGTCTCTTCTAGCACCCTCCTCACTAACAGGACAGCTCTCATCAAGCTGGAGGGGATTCTTTTGATGAGGCGATTTTCTTTATGGTTGCATCTCATTTTACAACCTCTTGAGGGCGCCAAACATCACGTTATCTGAACAGTGCCGACAGTAACAATCTAAAATTTCCCATTTATTTTTGTATTTATTTCTGCTCCTTCTAAAAATAAATGGAATTAAATTATTTGTTTGTAGTTATTAATCACATATTAATCATGATAAACTGTGTGTAAACTGTAAATAAATCTAACTATTTTTTAATCTATCTACCAAAGGTTTTTATCAAAATGTTTATGCCACAGATTTTTTTCCAATTGTTAATTGTTTAAATGTTTTTGATAAGTTAAAATAGAATACAATTTAAAAGGATCACTTATTTTACTTATTTTCATATAGAATTCGTCAAAATACGTATTTCATTTATTTCATAAAGAGTGTGGAACTTAAGCAAACAGAACTGAGCATCTGACCAAAAACATAGAAGTTAGCATCTTTATTCATTAGGATTATTTAAAAAAAATAATAATAATAATCGGGTAGGTAATTATTATATTTTTATATATTGTTATTATTATTATATTATTATAATTCCCATTTTCGACAAGGGACTTTAACTTTGGAGAGAGAAAACTTTTATTTTAAAAAAAATTGTCATCCGCTTACACGACCTCAGCAGCAGCGCTGGTGTCACAGCTGACATGGAGAAACCACATGAGATACATGACTAAAGATTTCTCAAATTCAGCAATATCGCTAAATGAAGATAGAACCTGGAGTGTAGATGGAATTAAGGTTAAGATATGGTGTCAGAAAAGTTGGTGAGATTTGACTGTTATTGTTTTTATTCCAGATTGTCTGTCGTTTTGTCTTACACGACTTGAACACGCTTTCATTTCTGCAATGTTTACATGTTATGAACTGATGTTGTCGAAATTATTATTTTCCAACATAATATTTGGGAGTTTTTCTTAACGGCGTAAACTATATATAACGAACTAAAGGTATTTCGAAATTGTTAAAAACCAAGAGAATCAGAAGTGTAGTTTTACCGCTGGCACGTTAGTAAATTATTATTGCAAGTTTATTGTATGGTTAATAATTATAAGCAAGTATGGTAACTTTTAAGTCCCCTATACTTTGATTTTTTTGTATTGATTGACTTCTTTTAAAGAGCTAGTAATTCAATTAATTAAAGTGCTATTTTATGGTATTTACTAGAATGTTGGACTCAAGTCAATTTAAGCAACCTAACAAATATAATAACAAATAAATAAGTTTTTTGTATTCTCTGAAAGATTTACTGCAGAAAATCTATTTTTCATTAACTACAAACATTTGTTCTCAAACTAGAGACATTGTAATTTACAACAATGTAATCTATTTCCTAATCTTTTGTCTGATTGACTATTATTACAATATAAAATTGACAATAACTGGGAATAGCAAAAAAATATTATTTGAATATTATTATTTTCTTTCTCAAATACAGTCAGTTAAATGTTTATTTTCAAAAGCCTTAATCTGTTTTATTTTATGTATTCTACTTTCAGACTATTCATTGTGGTCATTTGAAATGGAGAATTGTGTGTTTACTTATGTGCTCATATGTACCCAAGGCTCTTAACCCTTATGTACTGTTGGGGATGTTTTCATCCACTCTGGGATGATTTTGTGTCTTAATTTAGCCATAACCTTTCCTGTGTTTCAGCTAGCAGAATGATTTTTGGTGACAAATCTATTTTTATACATATTTTAAGAAAATGCTTTGAATAAAAAAACAAAACAAAACTCAACAATACACTCTGGGCAAATTTACTACCCTTTGTTATGTTCGGGATGAAAACATCAATTGAATTAAACTGCTGTAAAAATGCATCAGATACATTTTTTGGTTCAAATCTGCTAATCAACCACAGTCCTGAGCAAAACTACTAAATTGTTTAGAAAACTATAGGATTTTAACTCCTTAATTTTCAAATTCATAAACGATGTTACTGATTTGGTGAAAAAACACACAAAATAACATATTTTCTATATAAAAAAGAAATTGGAAACTGCATTTCTTTCAACCTTTTACCACAGTCTTGTACATGTGAAACAACGTTGCCTTTGATGCATTGTTTTTGATTAATTTTTACTTTTTCCAGATATTTTCTCATGGTGGCGGTTTTTGCCCCATTGACTTTCATTTTAACCACATCTTTTTGATTACAAAACCATGACAACCTTATAATTATGCATTTTTTATTTTTGATGGTTTTTCCTGTTGGCAAGTGATAAAACTTGTAATTTTTACTGTTGATCATCAGTTGGCACCATTATCTCTTTAGATAGGCATGTGCAAAAAAACAAACAAAAAAGCTTAGTTTCTGGATTTTAAATAAAGTATAAAAGCAAATTAAAGTGTTTGTATGTGTGTCAGTGAGTGTGTGTCTGTGAGAGTGACCTGTGAAAAGAGTGTCTAAGAAAATAAAAATATCTATCTCAGCTTTCAGATCTACATGGAGTAAATAAAAACAAAGACTGTGTGTTTTTATTTGCCATCAAATGTGGTTATAATAGAAGCTAATGGGGCAAAAACAGCCACCAACAGTAAACTAGGGTGAAAAAAATCTAACAATGCATCAAAGCCAATGTTGTTACTAATCTTTGACATGTCCAAGACTGTGATAAAACGTAAAAATATCCAGTCCACAATTACTTTTTGTATCGAAAATGTCATTTTGTGTTTTTTTCCCCACCAAATCAGGAACATGGCAAATAAAGATTTAAAATCCTGTTTTTTCTAAACAATTTAGTAGTTTTGATCAGGAGTAAGGTTGATTAACAGATTTATGCAAAAACAAAAGTGTCTGATGCATTTTTACTGCAGTTTAATTCAGTGGATGTTTTCATCCCTAACATAACAAAAAAGTGGTGAGTTTAAACAGTGCACAAGGGTCAATGTGTTTTTTATTAATTCACAATTTGTAGACTGGTGTTTAGAGATCATAGTTAGAAGTATTAATAGCATCATTAAGACTCAAAACAAACGACAAATCAGAAAAAAAACAAGCTGGAAAAGGATGTTCAATAGGTTGTCCTTTACAGTAAGGTCTCATTAGTAAACATTAGTTAATGCATTAACTTATGTCAATAGAGAAGCAGCTACATTTGTTAAAGAAGTACTGTTAATATTAGTTGAAGAGTACAGCTGAACTTTATTAGTTATTAGTTAGTTATGAAATAAGAAAAAAACATTTTAACCTAAAATTACCTAAAAGTCCAATTGATTTTGAGAAATTAAGTCTTTTTGTAAAGATTTATTGAGAAAGTATGTGTGAAATATGTATGAATGAAAATAAATGGTACATCTTCATGCTCTAGTTGTGTGATTAACTCTACAGTAAGCACCACTTTATATGGTATTCATTGAAAGTGCTGTAATATTTCTTAATTCTATATTTTCCTTAATATATTTTAAATTGACTTTTGTCTTTTATTTTTTTTTTTACAGAAGTTCTGCTAAGAACAGAAAAAAAGAAAGATGGGTCCATCTAGAGTTTTTTCAATTCTTCACCATGTTGCTGCTTTTTCTCCTATACACAGTACAACGGCATTAAGACATTCCCTTTGTAAGCCTTCTGTAAATCTGCGCTATGCCTCCCTCTGCACCCTCCAACAGACCAGATCTCTTTCAACAGAGACCGCCATAAGCCATCACATTTCAGACCTGACTGACAGGGAGAAAAGACTACTAACTAAACTTTATGATGGACTTATTGGGGGTCGAAGGGCAGCTCTTGCTGAATGTATAACCCTTGTAGAGACCCAGCATCCGAGGAAGAAAGAGTTAGCCCAGGTTCTGCTTCAAAGAGTGCTGGCCTTCCGTCAGGAGCAGGAGAGACGCAGCGGTGGAAAGCCAGTGGCCTTCAGAGTTGGTCAGTAAGGTGATGTGAACAATAGGAGTGAGGTTGCTGTTTGTGTGAATGTCCTCCTCAGTCCTTATATTGCCTCTCCGTATGTGTGACTTCAGGACTGTCTGGTCCTCCTGGTGCTGGAAAGTCTTCATTTATTGAAGTCATCGGGAAGATGCTGACAGGAAAAGGACACAAAGTGTCAGTACTTGCTGTGGATCCATCTTCTTGTACAACTGGAGGTGAACAGACAATCAAATTGTCATCTAAATATGATGGTGTCGGTTTTGTTTTAGTACTTGATGTTAAACATAGTTATTTTTTAGGTTTCTGTGATATAGAGAATAAAAAAAAGAACAGCAGTTATTGTTTAGCAATAGAAATCTGTAAATGTGACCCTGGACCAAAAAGCCAAAACCAAAGTCATAAGTGTCTTTTTTTCTGAAATTGAGATTTTTACATCATTCTGAATAAATTAGCTTTCCATTGATGAATTGTTTGTTAGGATGGGGCAAAAATAAAATCTGAATCTCTGAAGATTTGAAAAACTTAACTATTGAGACTATTAACTATTACCTTTTTAAGCTTGTTCAATTTAGGTTCTAAACAGTGCATATTGCATGAAAATATGTTTTGATCTATGTACAGAAGAAAATATACTAAATGAATTAATGGAAGGAATAAATAAATAGTTTTTGACCCATATAATGTTTTTTAAAGTATTGCCTAAACTATATTTGTGAAGTGAAAAGACCAGGGTCACAAAATTATAAATGTCGTAGCTTACTTAAAAATAAAAATGACCCTATAATTTATTCACCCTTAAGCCTTCTTTGGTGTATATAATTTTCTTCTTTCAGTCGAGCACAGTTGGAGCAGTTGTAAGATTTTATCCTGGCTATTTCATGGTGTATAATGTAGTGGTAGTTGGGTAGTGGCCTTTTTTAGAGCTTAAAAAATCACATAAGTCCAAACTAAACAATCCAAACTAAACCAGCCTTAATGCAAATCACTGACTTTGGGTAGATGTTGAATTTATGTTCTTGGCTGAACTTTGACTTTTGATGCATGTCATAAGATGCACAATTGATAAATCCTCATTTTTTTTCGGTTTATTTCGTGCTTTATCAGGTCAATTGCTCTAGCAATTGCTTTACACAGCGGATGCCCTTCCAGCTGCAACTCAGCAGTACAGTGATACAGTGCTTCCAATAGGTTTGATATATACTTATGTTAATAGCCGAATTGAAACAACATTTACCCACATCACACAAATAGCTATAACTATAACTATATGCGTCAAACAAAACATTATTACATTTTTGACAATTATTTTATTTATTATGACACTGTTACACACTGTTTCTTTTAATGGGTTAAATAAAAAAGACTGTTGAATTAAAATAAAAACACCATTTATCTTATCTTTATGCTGTTTAGGAGCCATGTGCACCCACTGACTGGTCAAATCTGCTTCTCTCTCTTTCAAAGCAAACTTGTATGCCAAAGCATTTTAAATATGCATATATAATAGCTTATTTAATATAGCCTAATGACATCATAAAATTAATAAAATATAAAGCAAATACGAAATAAATGACAGAAAAAGAAATAAAAACAGACAACATCTCTAAAAATGATAATAATTACAAGATTAAAACATGTAGATTAAATAAGGCAAATGCGTTGATTAACCATTACTAATTATGTACATTTTCCAGTCAGTTTAGACCAGTCATTTTGTCCTTTCCATGTAGAATGAATATATATATATATATATATATATTTATATTTATATATATATATATATATATATATATTTATTTATTTATATATATATATATATATATATATATATATATATATATATATATATATATATATATATATAGTATAGTATGTAGTATATATAGAGTCGTTTAGATTCAAGAATGAATTATTAGATGTTTCTCTTGCTCTCGCTGCGCAGCCATGCGAATGTGGGCTTGAGTAAAAAGATAATGCAAAAGCACATACGATTAATCACAGCTTTAGAAAGCGAAAGTCGAATCGCAGGCACTTTAGGAGATTTAGAAACCCCGGCCAGACGAAAATAGTTGCATACAAAAGTGTAAAAGGATAATAATAATAGTAAAAAACATGTCTTTAAATATTCTTGGGTGGCCGTTAACGTTAATATACCTGGGCGGCTCGCTCAAGTAAAGTCTATGTGTGGTTAGCACTAGAGTACAACCCTCAGTGCTGAGAAAGAGCCACATACTCTCCCATTCACAAACTATGGCCAATTTAGTTGATAAAATACACCCATACCACATGTTTGTGGACTGTGAGGGAAACCGAAGCACCAGGAGGTAACCCACCCAGACTTGAGGAGAACATACAAACTCAACACAGAAAGGCCTCTTGGTCTAGCTGGGACTTAAACCAAAAAACTTTTTTACTCTTTCCTATTAGCCATCGATCCATTCTTTTCTGACCTCAGGTATTAACAGGCATTTTTTTTCCCACAAACTGCATTGACTGGGATAGAGATATTCTGCAATACTTAGACCAGACCATCCTGCATTAACAGCAATCACATTTATTCTTATTCTAATTCATTACACAGCGTATTAATTAATTCAATAATTCGTACACATGCGAATGTGGTTGCATGGAGGCAAGCTTTTGTGACAAGCAAGGCCACTATAAGCAATTTTGAGCCCTTTGAATGAATAATTGAATGTTGGGCCCCCTGCTAGTACTGTTCTCTGAAGCAGTTCTGTGTGGGCCCTTGCCAACAAGTTTTGAATGTTGCTGCATTCCAAAGTTCAGGTTTGTTGAACTCTGTTCTGTGCATTTGGTGATTTGTATATGTGAGATGATGTGCAACCAATAGAAGCCAATCAAAACATGACCTCTCTGTACAGAAATTTAAATACGGAGCAATCGCTCATTTCATCAGTGTCACATCATCTTGTTTCATCCCATTTTATTCAAATTGCTATTGTTTTATTCCACTTTTTTCATGATTGCATGCTCACTCACCTGTGACTGTGACTTTAAACTCATAAGACTTTGTGAAGTTTATTTATAAACTAATTTCGAGAGGATCACGTGCTTATGATTGACCATGGCTGGTCCCGAATTAGCCAACACATGATACACCAATCAGATGATTCCTAACATAATTGTATATACATATAAAATCACTCATTTACGACAGACTTTTGAGGTATAAACTTGAATACTGTATATATAATCTTGACATTTATTAGTTAAACTCATAATAATAGGTTACTCTGAATGCAGGTTCACTGATGGGGGACAAAACACGGATGACGGAGCTCTCCAGAGACATGAACGCTTACATCCGACCTTCTCCCACATCAGGAACCCTTGGCGGTGTGACGAGAACCACCAACGAAGCCATCGTTCTTTGTGAGGGTGCAGGCTATGACATTGTTTTAGTGGAAACAGTAGGTAGGACTTTGTTCTAGATTTTGTTAAATTATGTATTTAGGTCTGATAACTGACCTTCTGTGTATGCAATGTACGTGTCTCCTAAGTCTGAATCTCTACACAGGTGTTGGTCAGTCTGAGTTTGCTGTGGCTGACATGGTGGATATGTTCGTTCTTCTAATTCCACCAGCAGGGGGCGATGAACTACAGGTATGCACATTACTTGATCTGTTGTCATAGGACAGCTGCTCCTAACATGGGGACCGGTTCCCACTAGGAGCCTCTGCAAACTTCTAAAGCGGCTTCAAGATTACTTCAAATGAAATGTAGTTTTAAATGGGAATTTTAAAAGTTTGATTCATAGACTTAGAAGTGTCTTGGACTTTTATAAAAATCCTTAAACACTTACAATAGGAATTTTAGAATGAATGCACATTTGATTAATTATTCGCAGCTCTACATTTTATTTGGTGGATATTTTGAGTAAAATATAATTATGTTATAAAATATTAATTGGAAAATGTACAATAATTCTGCCACAGAGTCAAATAAATTGATAATGTCTGTCATAGAACTGAATCTGAGTCTTATATTGTGAAGATCATCACTTCTAAACAGTCTTGCTGACAATGGAATGAATGATATTTTCAAAAAGGGAATCAAAAGAGGAATTATTGAGATGGCTGACTTGGTGGTGGTTACAAAATCAGATGGCGAATTGGTTGTTCCAGCAAGGAAGATACAAGCAGAATACACCAGTGCTCTGAAGCTGCTTCGAAAGAAGTCCAAAGTCTGGAAACCAAAGGTATGTTACAATATTATCATGCTTTAAATACCCATGATGTACATGAAGTACAAGAAAACACATAGAATTAATTGTACACATTTTGTAGTGAACTATAACATTATCATCAGATCTATTTCTTTTAAATATTAGTCCATTAAATAATCATTAAATAGTTGCTAATTTTATTGCTGAACATACAGCAAGCAGATTTTGGTAGATTCTCTCTCTAATATGTACATACAGTGTTCCCTCGCATGATGCGGTTCACCTTTCATGGTCTCGCATTTTTGCAAATGTTTTTAGTGCAATTTGACCTGCTTTTTTACAGCGCATTTTGTTCTGCACCCTGATTAGTAGGGATTGCCCGATCAGGTCTTTTTGGCTTTGAGTCCAAATCATTTGATTTTGAGTATCTACCAATACCAAAACCCGGTCCAATACTCCTATAATAAATAAAAAAGAATAAAGAAGAGTGAAGAAACAGATCCGAGATGTTCCTTATTTTTTATTTCATTTACCTTATTTTTATATTCAGCAACTCTGTTAACAAACAGAGCACTTCTGTGAGGTAGCTTGAACAATCGAGTAATAAATAAATAAATAAAAAAACAAATTCTTCACATTTAGACTTCAGTGCAACTGTAAATGAGAAAATGAGTACCTCAACGTAAAATACCCGACAGGCAATCCCAAGTTTACATATCTCACAGTTTGCTTAGGCAATGTTAACGTCATCAACTTCATAATACTTCCAGACCACAGACATACTCGCACTTTCCGCTTCAAGCTGCTTCCGTGTTCTACTTTGCCAGCATTTAACCAATAGTGTCTCTGTAACAAAGTGATGTCATGCCGCATGTGTTGCTGTTTCTGTGTGAAGGCGAGAACGAGGTCTAACTCTGTGCCACTGCATTACTATGAATGTGTTATAAATAGTGAGAATATATATGGTAAACATATATATTCAAGTCCTGATCAAGAGGTAACGTCCGATTCCAATCGAGTCTGAAACCACTTGATCAGGCCCGATTTCCGATCACGTGATTGGATCTGTACATCCCTACTGATTAGCGCATTGTGTTCTGCATCCTGATTGGCTGTAGACCATTGTTAATCAATCTCCATGCCGTGTATCCTGTACAATACAGAATGCATTTAAATAAATGCATAAATCTTTGCTCGCTAGCAGTGTGACTCTGAAGTTCTGTACTGTATGTTTGCAAGTTTTCTTCCCAACAAACCCCATGTCAACAAAACAACAAAACATTGCACTGTCAAAGGCACCTACAGTAGCACCCAAAAGGCAGAGGAAAATGCTAACCATAACACAAAAATTTGGACTTCTGAACATGCTAAAGGAAGGTAGAAGTTAAAAGTAGAGAATAGTGTGAAAATGTTAATGCCTATCTGAGAAAATAGTGTAGTGAGAGGTTTTACAGCCTTAAAACACCTATAATAGTAAAAAATAGTGGACTACATCGGGGATTTCACCTATTGTGGGCTATTTTTAGAATGCAATTTCCGCAATTAACAAGGGACCACCGTATATTTAAGTGAAAAAGTGAAAAGTTTGTGATTTTGAATAGTTACAAAAAATTTGTATTTTATATTAGAATGTCAAGATTTTTTTTTTTCATTTATTCATTTGATTCATTCAAACTGCTGATTCATTCAGGAATTAAGAAAATGAGTATGAATAGAAATTAAATGATTCAAAAGGGATTCATCTGTTAGTTTTGTAAATCTGCAAATGAACAAATCTGTTGGTTTAATTAATATACTTGTATTTTCTTTCATTTAATTTAAGTGTTTATTCTGCTCCAGGACCTCGTTTGGACATGCCTGGTTTAGAGTGTATTAGAGATGCACTTTTGCTCTGACTTAATATTTTTGTTGGCAAGATTAAGGCCGTTTTGACTTCAGTATCTTGAATTTAGGCTCATACGACAGCATTCTATAGGCTCCATCATGCAGTCAGTTACTCACTTGCATCATGTTCATCACCAATCAACTGTATAAAATGTAAGATGACTTCCACCGGTCTGGAGGGACTCTATTTAATGTGATAATAATTTAATGTATATTTTTTCATTCTTTTATTAACATTAAATTGTTATCATTCAAAAATCAACAGTGTTTATATATCTTTGTCCTCATTTTAACTTTTTTCTTCTTTGCCACCCTTTCATATAAGTAATAAACAGCCTTTATTATGGGTTTTTGAAAATGAGCTTTTATGCAGTAACACAGCTTTAAGTGAAAAGTAAAATATCCAGCTAAGGCTTAAATATGAAAGTGCACCATGTTTAAAAGGATTGAAAAAGTTTTAAAAATAAGAAGACAAGCACTGTTGCGGACCCTGGTTGAATCATGTCGCAAAGACGCTGTGCTCTGAAGTGTGAGCGAAAATTTGTGTTATTTTTCCTACCCAAAGATGAGGCTGTAAAGAGTCAGTGGTTGAAGTTTATTTATGCAAAAATACCTCTGCATTGTAGCCCCAGCCTTGTGCTGTGTTCTCGTCATTTTTTTGACGAGTGCTTCAAGAATCTACATGCTTACAACAGGTGATTTGTCAGCCATTTGTTAAAGAAAGGATCAGAAAAGACTATATGGGACTTTGCAGAGCTTGAGGGGGAAGAATTTACTTGAGTTTTCCAGGAGAAATAACAAAATGGGAGGGTGGCGGGAGATGGGTCTGAAATACGGGAGTGTTGGCAGGTATGCTCACACATACACTCTGCACACTGACTACAACAAAATTGTTGATGAGCCGTGGTTGGCATTTATCTCTGTCTCGCGCTAAACGTAGTAGACAAATCACAACAGACTGAGTCATCAAACCAATTGTGCTGAGGAGAAGTTTGGGAACAAATAAATCGCTGAACGAATCATATAGGAGTCGCTGGTATAATTAGGTTAAAATAAATACATATTATAAGACAATGAAAATGTTTTTTGACCTTGCATGCATATCAGCCTGTTGTTGGAGACCCCCAAAACCTAAATAAAACCCTTTTTAATGCATAATAGGGGCTTATTTTAAAAGCGTTTTAATTCTATACCTTTATTATTTGTTTAGAAGAGCCATCCTGTCCAGTGAAGTCGTCTTTACTGTCATTTCCCATCATGCTCTGCTCTACTTTGTCAAGTTCTTCCTCTTTGTCTCCTCAGTCCCAGTATTACTTCTACCCGCAGGGCACAGAGCCAACATAGGCAGCCCTTTGAATGGCCAAATGCTGCCTCATGCATTTCACTGATTAGAGGCCACCCACATGGATGAGAAGCGCTAAAGTCTTTGTCTCCTCTCAGCAGCATGATTTCTGAGCTTCATTCCTGTACTGGAGGATGCGACGGTCATATTGATTTTTTTTTTTTTTTTTTGCCCTCCCTAAAGACTTTCCAGTATAAAGGTCTACTAAAACCAAGGATGGAGTGACATGTGTGGGCGAACACTCTTTACATTTCTGCATTCTTGCTGTTCGGATGTAAAGCTACTGCCTGCTTCCATTCTTTTTTTCCCTCAAAACAAGATGAATATAAGATCTTAAAATGCGCTCAAAAATTACCTTTGCTGCTTGTTCAAACTATTCATTTAAAATTATTTGAAACACCACAATTTGTTAGGTTTTTTAGAGGGACAACTTAATTGTTTTGTTTAATCCACTTAAGATGTGTTGTTACAACATGGTGGAATTGTGTAGAACCCAGCATTTTTATATTGGGTTTGCACTGCATTGTAATGTGTATATACACAAAAGCACAACAAAAAACTATTTTAACAAAATATTTAATATTATATTATATACAACAGTTCTGTCTGATTCTCGAATATGATGGGCTGATAGCCACGCAATATTCTGCAATATCAAAACGCGTACAGTCTTTTCACTCTTGTGTATTACTCCGCCCACATAGAGTGACAGCAGATCATTAAACTCACTACAGTTTGACAGATATTGCTGCTGTTGGACAACATAATGTACTTTTGAGGCTTTTTAGGTTAGAATGTAGTTGTTTAAATAGCAACTATGCAGTTAATTTATAAAGACAGTGCCTATTTTAAATATTTATAATTTCAGAGATACAGCGAGCAAGCAACCATTAGTCATACTGAGCAAAGACAGTTGACATTGTCTATCCACAAGATGGCAACAGAGAACACATGGTTAGCCCTTAGAGGAGAAAAACTCAGCGCAATGTCTAACTACAGCTGATCGAAACATCATAAAACTCTGTCTCTCTTTTTTGAATGTTAAAGTGCTGTATTTATACCATAGTAATTGTGGTGTATTGAGTGTGAGATGGGACTGACATATCAGGAATGTATGTACTTTGTGTTGGCCACTCTTTGCATAACCCTGAATCACTTTTTGGTTAGCCATCTGTTTGTTTCTAATGCGTCCCCAGTTTTCGTTACTGCAGACTAGTTAAGTAAAAAAAAGAAAGAAGAAATGCCTGCATGCGTTTAGCATTTTTACTTATCGCAAACACAACAGTAATCTGGAAGTGTTTGCGTGGCTTTAACTTTTTTGGGGATGATTATTGCGAAATTTCTAATGCAACAGAGAAATACTGAGAAATGTCTGTAGACTGATGGCATTTCATGCCGTTCAGCCCTATAATCTTAAACTGTGAGCAAAATCAGCTGTTTTGTCTTCACTTTAGACATTACGCTAGAGAATCATTCAAACACTAGCTCTACAGTGATGTTGGTGATGTAGCAATGGTTTCTGCTGTTCTGACGTCAACTGCACAAGAAAGAAAGTAGTTCCTCATACAAAAGGGTTTTTAGATTCTCTGTGTTTGATCTTCTTTTTTATACACAACTATGCCGTGGAACTGTTGTATAAATGCAATATCACACTCGTAGCAGTGCGATAGGGCTGTATATTGTCACTGGTGTTACACTAAGGCAACGCACGTCTCCCATCAGTGTCGATATACAACCAAATCACACTGCCACGAGTGATATCGCTCTTATATTATATTACACATTGATAATGATTGATTTGTTTTAGAGCAGGAATAATGTAGTAAATTGACACTAAAATGTTAATTTAAATCATTCATTTTCTTTTTCACATTTAACTGAAAATAAAATTGAAATAATACTAAAATGTTTATAGTCAAATACAAATGTAATAAATTCCATTTAATCATCGTTGACTAGCAACTTCTTTTTTTGCTATGCTTAACATGAACTGTTGAAAACTGAAATAAAAATATTAAAATATGTAGGCATGCAAAATTAATAAATAAGAAATCCTTTAAAGTTTTATCATAAATGCTTTAAACTAAATAATAGTTGCTATTTTAGATTAACTGAAAAAAAACTGCTATAATAATGAAATATAGTCATATAAAAAAATTATAAATATCTCCTTAGCTTTTTATTATAGTTTACTAGCACTCAAATGTAAACTTTAAATCTAATGTTAGCTGGGAAAACTGAAAAGTAATAAAACATGCAAGCATGTACAAAATGTCCCTTAAAGGGTTAAAAAAATGGCCCTTAAAATATTTTTTATGAGAGGGCCATATAAGAATGTAAACAAAAAAACAACTGGTTTTTATTGTGCCTTAACATTAACTGGGGAATAAAATGTAATAAAATAATACAATATAGTGAAATTTTAATAACTAAATCACTAAAACATTTAAAACAACTATTTAATCTATTAATAAACATCAGTATGTCAGTGATAATCAATCAACACTGCTTCAGATGGTGATCTCTAGTCAACACATTTATATTCTTCCTTTTTCTGGCTCTCTTCACATGCGGTCAGGTGGTGCGCATATCCTCTCAGACGGGGCAGGGTGTGCCGGAGCTTTGGGAAACCATGCTGCACTTCCGGGAGGAGATGCTGAGCAGCGGGGAGCTCCAAGTCCGACGGCAGACTCAGCAGAAGGTGTGGATGTGGAGTCTGATCCAGGAGAACGCTCTCCGCCACTTCCAACAGCATCCAGCGGTGCGTGCAGAGCTCCCAGAGCTGGAGAGCAGAGTCACGTGTGGAGAAATCTCACCTGGACTCGCTGCTGACCTGCTGCTCAAAGTTTTCACAGACACACAGTGATGGAGGGGCTGCTTTATGGGGGAAAAACTGGTTGTTTTAGGGATTACTTGAATGGAAAAATCATTGCAAGATTGAATCTTACATATGTTGCTTCACTTGATTTTAAAGGATTTTAATTACTGGTGACTTTTGATGATTATGTTCTAATATTGTCTTAGTGTTATCTTGTCCTGTAGATGAGATTAAATGACTAATGTGTTGGATTTTTTGAGGAATATGTACATTTTGGGACTTGACAATAAATTGTAATTTTCTTCTGATTATTTTTTTCATTTCTTGATATTTTGTTGCCTACCATCATCAACAGTGATAAGATTAACTAAAAAAAAGCTTGAAAGAATATCTTATAGCATGACAATTAGCATAATTATATATTTTTAGTTTTTTTATTGATTGTTTTAGAAATATCAATATTTTAAAATTATTAAATATTTTCTATTAAAAACGTTTTCCTAATATATGGTAATAAATTAATAATAGAAGCTAAAAGAAAAGGCCATTTTGTGAAAAATACATTTTGTAATGCTGAGAATTACATAAAACATAATAATTGCCACTACATAAATTACAATTACATAAATATATTACAGTAACAGTAATGCTAGAATATAAAAAGCTAAATAATATTTTTATACTTTAAAAATTATATACTTGTTTTATATATGTTTATATTATGTTTGTGTTATATTATTTATTAAACATTATCTTCACAGAATTAACTATAATGACTTTTTTTCTTTTTGACTGCTGCCAATTTTACTATGAAACCATAAAGATAAACATATGCTACAGTGTGTGACTAAAATAGATGTTAATGTGATAATTGAGCATAAATGTATTACATTGAAAACAAGTGACTATACATCAACATGCAGGCCTGTAACCAGTAGAGTTCGGGTGGTTCGAAAGACCCGCCCCTCACTGACAAAGGTCCAGAATTTGTCCCATATGAACTCATTTGTCTTACTTTATCTGCTATGCCACCATAATTGGGAAATTAACCCATAGAAAAAGGCTTTAAGACCAGGAGAATACTCTGTTGACTGTCCCTTCTGCAAGACTTCAGCTAACAAGTTACATCCAATGCAAACAATTGTTTTTTAGTTCAACATCCAGCTGTAAAGAAAAACACATCTGACGTGAGTGATGTCATCTTTCACTACTTACCTACTGTATCGTTGTTAAATAGAGAAAACATTTTTACAATTACTTTTATTCTATATAGTGAATTTTATTCTTGAAACAAACAAACAAAAAAAATTACCAATAAAATGGTGTGAAGCACCAAAAGCAGCCCATATTAAAATTTATTTGAAAACTAATTTGGCTATTATCCATGAATTTTCAAATGTAAAATCGTGAAGCTCTGCATTATTATTATTATTATTATTAATATTATTATTATTATTATTATTATTTTGTTTTAATAGTTTATTATTCAAATGGCCAATTTCTGACTGAGGAAAGTTTAATGTGCTGGCCAGTTTGTTATTTGCCAAATGAATGACAATAAGCTGCAGTTTTTAATTTAAAAGTTTTAACAGATTCCTATTTTTTTCAAATGATATATGATGAGTTACATTTATATTTTAAAAATAAGTATTTATATTTATTTATTTTAAATCTTTAAGAAATACTTTTGCTACTTCAGAAAGTGAACACACAACCAGCTAATCCAGCTAAAAACTGTGTTTAAATTATCACTAAAATGCAGTATTTGAATCTCATAATTAAAAAGAAAATGATAACTGCAAAAAGATCCACTTTTTGAGAAAAAAAAAGAACCACCACTTTCACCAGGCTGCCCACAGGCCTGACATGTACTTATATACATATATTATTCAATAAATGACCAGGGGCGGATTTAACCAATAAGCAAGGTAAGTGGCCACTTAAGAAACATGGAGGTCCCCAATAAATATCTAGAAGTATAAATTATACCCTATAAACTATATATAACATTGTTTTCTATCATATTTTGTATGGTGAGAGTTAAACAGATACAATTTTAACATAAATAATTTGTATTTAGTATACAATCAAATAGAATATTATAATAATGTAATGTTATGTAATAATAATAATATTACAAAATAAAATATCCATCATGGAGCAGTCCAGCAGTCAAATGTATAAAAAAATATATATATTATTTTTAGTTGTAAATTCATTTTAAGAAAAGTAATCATTTAATATGTAGAGATTGCATTAATTTTAAATAAAATTGGGTAATATAAAAAACAACAATATAAACAAAATTGAAATAAAAGTAGAAAGGGTGCATTTCAGGACTTGGGCCCCATGGCTGGAATTGCTTAAGGCCGCTATATATGACCTTTCTCTTCATGCAGTATGGACCTGTTAAATATGCAAACATCTAACATTTTGCTATTTTTACTGTTGCGTTCTCTACACGTCTACGACCACAAGTAATTCTGCTAATCTTACATCAGAACTCCACTCCACGAATTTCAATGAGCTCATACAGTAAAAAGTGATCTTCTCTCAGCCTGACACTAGATGGACCTGTAGACCTAGCCAGATCTGTGTCCATTATGTAAATCAGCTCTTCTGCATGCCACTGCTGTTTGTCTCAGCCTACAGCACTGTGTCGTCCTTAACAGACTCCGAATATGCTGACTACCAGCCCTCTCCTGTTGATTCCTGTAGCACTACTCAGAATCACAAACTCCAGGAGAATACGCCATGTCGAACAGCACCCTGTTTGTTGTCACCATTGTGTCATTTCTGTGAACCCCAAGTTCGCGTGACCTCATCTGGTGGCTTTTGTCCGGCAAGCTGTGCCGTGTTTGCGTCAAGACGGGATGTTCTGCTGTTTTCCTGCGCACATGCTTTCTAGTCATTATGCCTTGCTCTTCTGTCTTATGACTCAGACTGGAATGCTTTGTGAATACTGATGAACTCTGAAGACCTGAGGGCCGCCCTCTCCATCAATCACCAATAAAAGCTCTTGGCCTTCCAGTGGAAGCGGAGATACGTTACATGTGAGTCCAGGAGCGAGGAAACCTGCTGTCTGAGAGATCGTGTTGCAGAGCGAACTGTGTTTATGTACACGGTTAACATTAAGAAAATTGGTTTCATGTACTGCATGCAAGAACCTAGAGGTATAGAATGTAATCAAGTTTAATATCGTGACCATGCCTTTTCATTATTTTAGAAATATAAATAGCAATACCAGTCAAAGAGATTCTTGTTTTTGTTTTTATGAAATATTTTGTTCATGGATGCTTCGTTTAATGAATCAGAAGTACAGCAATTGTGTGTATGAAATGTTATTTAAAATAACATACATATTTAATGTTTCATATTTGAATGTTTTTAAAGCATAATTGATTTCTGGGGTGGTAATGCTGCTTTTTAAGCAGCCTTTATTAAAATAATAAATTTTTAATATATCATTCATTTTCCTTCAGCTTAGTCTCTATTTCAGAGGTCGCCACAGCAGAATGAACTGCCAACTATTCCAGCATATGCTTTATGTAGTGGATGCCTATCCAGCCACAACCCAGTACTGGGAAAATTGTTAATTAGTGTTAAGTACTATTAATAAAAGGAATTCTCAATATGAATTATGTATCTTATGTTTAAGTTAATGGAAATGTCTGTAAAAATGACTAGTGAGTGTTCTGGCAGAATTTGTTTTCCTTTTTTTTTGTTTTATTTAAAACAGTGTTCACTGTTTTTTAAGGAATTATTTTATGAATTTAACCTAAAGTAAATACATTTTTTATTACTTTTGATTTATTGATAAACCTTTTCTAAAGTGCATGTCTCATATATTATTAAAAATATTTTATATATTATTATTATTATTATTTTCCCAGAGATGGGTTGTGGCTGAAAGGGCATCTGCTATGTAAAAACATGTTGGATAAGTTGGAGGTTCATTCCGCTGTGGCAACCCCGGATTAATAAAGAGACTAAGCCGACAAGAAAATGAATGAATGAATTATTATTATCATGGTGCAGTGGGTAGCACATTCGCTCACAGCAGGAGGGTCGCTGGTTTGAGCCTCGGCTGGATCAGTTTTCGTTTCTGTGTTGAGTTTGCATGTTCTCCCCGCATTCGCGTGGATTTCCTCCAGGTGCTCTGGTTTTCCCCACAGTCCACAGACATGCGGTACAGGTGAATTGGGTAGGCTAAATTGTCCTTAGTGTTTGTGTGTGAATGAGTGTGTGTGAATGCTTCCCAGTGATGGGATGCAGCTGGAAGGGCATAAGGGCATAAGGGCTCATTCTGCTGTGGCGACTTTAGATTAATAAAGGGACTAAGCCGAAAAGAAAATGAAAAAAGGAATATTATTAAAAAATATTCTTAAAGTAAATAAATAAACTTAAAGATTTAAAACTGAAATAAATTTTTTGTATAGTCATATCTCAGATGTCATTTTTTTTTACTCTAAATTATACTTAAAAGAATTAAAACTAATATAAATCCTACAATCTAAAAACTATTTTATTAAATACTATAAAATACAGCAAAATAACAACAGAAAATGTCAAATAACAGCATAATTACTAAAACAAACTTTAATCTCAGAATTAAAGATGAGCATTTGAGTAATCTAAATCAAGGGTTCTTAAACTTTTCAACTCGCTACCCCCACAATAACAATTCCAGTGACTCGCGACCCCCACTATCCTCAGAGGCGGTTATAAACATACACTTTCAGAAAAAACTGTCAAAAGTCATTGGGGCAGTACCTTTTTATGACACAGAATTTACCTTAAGACAAAGAAACACATTTGCACCATTGCAGTTTGTACCTTTAAGAACATAATTTGTACCATGGAAAACCAAAATGTACCTTTTGTTTTTAAAACCTGCAGATACAATATCCTACCTTCATCAAAGGTACAAATGTTATCCATGAAGGTACCACTATACAGTGGCAAGACGCTTTGTACCTTAACAGTGTCAAATGTGTTTATTCAAGAACTATAAAAGGCATTTTGCTTTATCCAAAATGGGTCAATTTATTTTCAGTAAAAATAAAACATTAAATACATTTTTAAACATTTTTTTAAGTTTATATTTGTGTTTATGCATCTCTTCCATTTACAATAAAGAATAAAAATACTTCAACATAAATCAAAAGATCTATTTTTTGCTAAACATTTCACAACACTTTTCACAAAAATGTTACAGAAATACAATCTCATTTTTCTTATAGAGTAGCAATAATCAGAAAATGCTTAATAACTGTTTATTAAAAATGCTTTAAATGTTTAGTTTTTAC